ATTCTAAAATTTATAAATGTAAATTCTAAAAAAGTTCTAAGTATCTGCGTGTTTCGGAAAAAGCTCTTTTTTTAATAAAAAAAACTAAAAAAGCTCCAAATTGACGAAAAAAGCTCTAATTTTATTTTCGACTATGAAAATTGTTTAAAAAAATTGTCACGACGTTTTTCTAGTTACAAATTTTTTCTGAATCGTAAATAAATTTTAAAAAAGCTCTGAGTATCTCCGTGCTTCGAAAAAAGCTCTTCTTTAATAAGAAAAGCTCAAATTCTATGAAAATAAGACGAAATTTGATATTCGACTCCAAAAATTGTTTAAAAAAATTGTCGTTTTTCGATACTTAATTTTTTTCCGAATCGGAAATAAATTCTAAAAAAAGTTCTGAGTGCCTCCGTGTTTTTTGGAAAAAGCTCCAAATAGATGGAAGAAGACCTAATTTGTTTTTCCGGGTTTTTAGTCATAAATTGTACCAAGATTTGAAAATCTAATAAACTAATTCTAATTGCCTATTATTTAAATTATATTCAATTGTATTTAATTAATTTTTCATCATTTTTTTTATTTATTTATTTTAATATTAATTATATTATCTAGTAGTTTGGAAAATATGAATATAGAAAAACAGAATTTTTTAATTTATTCTCCATTTCCGCTCTTCAATTTCGTTTCATTCTCTAAATGCAAAAAGTAAAATCTTCAATTTGGAGTAAATTTTTTTTTTGTTTAGCGACGAGCATTTGTACAAAAAAAAACAGAAATGAAATATGACAGTGATATTTTTTTGATTAAATGTCAATGGTTTTTGAGGCGTGCAATATGTGAATCGATCAGAAAACTCGTTTAAAGACACGAACTGGGTCGTAAAGTAAACGAAAATTACGATTCCAGTCACCAGCGCGTGGGACAGCTGGCATCAGGTATTTTATATATTATATATACATTTATATAAAATGGTATGGTTATATATATATATATATATGAAATCTCATGAAAAAAACGCTAGACAGTAAAAATAAGAACCACCTCTCATAAGTTTGCAATTTTCATCTTACTTTCTGTACATTACGCACGAAAATCGTTTCTCAAGATGTCCCTATTTTTTTCTGGACAAATAAAAATGAGGAGAGGATTTTTTTTTGAATGTCTTTTACGCTATATTAAACATAGTTCTATATAAAAGGATAGTTTCAATTGCTTTTCAGCCGCTTCGTAAAATAAGTATTATTGTCCTATTTTTTTCTTTTTTTTGTAGTAGATGGACTTGGCCAACAATTTTCGAATCATATATTGGGTTATAGTACAGATTTAATGTTTCTCTCTCTATTCTCTAAAAAGATTTATGTTCGATTTCTATTGTCATATGTGTCCCATCAGCACATATGTACACAATATGATTTGAAGTTGACATTCTATTTTTCTCGTTTACGATGTTTTGGGAGGGAAAGAGAGAATAAAAAATTCGTTCAGTTTAGAGGCCAATAAAATGTATTTTAATAACTTGTTTTTCTTCTTTGATTTCTTGTTTTCAAAATTTTTTTTCTTTTTTTATTTTTATTTATTTTTTATGTTTCTTTGATTTGTTTGTACACACGAAATAAAATCTTCGACTGGAATAGTTGCAAATTTCACTATTATATTAGCGAAATTTTTAGTTGCTTAAAATTTAAATTAATATACTTTCGCTATTTAAAAAAAAAAAATTTCGCTCAATTCTATTTTCTAAATTTGAATCAGAACTGAAATATTAGTTATTTTTAAATAATAATTTAATTTTATATTTAATTTAATAGGGGAAATGCGCCGGTTGTGGGCACCCTCCGGTTGTGGGCACCCCTACGTAAACTTCGACGGCAAGCAGACTTTACTGAACTAAGTATTGCAAGTCGTGTTCGTTGACAATACGGACTTTTCGTATTGATAACGAAACAAATATATGCATTTGTGTAATAGCTGTGAGCATAATAAAGAAAATTTGCATTAAATAAATAAAAAAGTAATTTTGTATTGTTTTCGAAGAGCAACATATGGGTGTAGATTCGTTCAGAAAAAAAGGGTTTAATTTTTTTTTGCAGTGTTGTCATTATATTTTGTGATTTACCTTCGTGTTTAACCAAAATCCTGCATCACAAAATGTGTTGGTCTTTTTAAAAAATGACTTTCATTCCCGGTTGTGGGCACCTTTATGTTAAGGAGGCTCTACCATCTGACAATGATGAGGACTACTGTCTCATCTATCTAAACTTTCTGCCAAGGAAATTGACAGCCGCAAACTCCATTAAATGCGATGAATATAGTCGTTCAGTGCATTAGAAGTGCGTTATGGTATGCGTACTAGCTACTTCACATGCAAGCATTATGCTTTTGTTAGCGATGAGCATAGTGTGAAAACGTGTCATCATTTTTGTTCTTTATCCCGGCAAATTCTCTTAAAATAAAGAAACTTTCATTTCTTCTTTATTTGTGTTGGTTTCCTTTAATATTTTTCCATTTTTAGCGGATTTTTCAAGGGTGCCCACAACCGGGTACAAAATTTTTTTTGTCAAAAAATTCCCATTTCACTAAATTTCTAATAAAACTTTTTTATTTAAAGGAATCAATTTAATTCCTTCACTGACAGTCACCTTAGACCTCTAGCTTTAAATTCGTACACATATATTTGAATAATATGCACATGGACAAATGTTATGAGGCAAAAACAAAAGGGTGCCCACAACCGGAACACTTCCCTTAATAATTTATTTAATAATAATTTTTAGTAATAACTAAATTATAAGTATAGGAATATTACTATTTGAATTAGTGACTGATTTTTTTTATCTTCAAATCAGTTATTTTTAACTGATTTAAAGGGTATAGCCGGATAAGTATGCAAAAAGTGCCCCCGCATGTATTTAATTCATAATTTATCCATACATTCCTACCCACTTAAAGATAACATTCTGAAATTTTGAACTCAAAATTCGCTTTTTTGGGGGAGTTATGGAGGGGGAAAGAAAAATCAAAAAATGCGTTTTTCTCGAAAACTACTGAACCGATTTTAATGAAATTTAAATATGTTATAAATGTCAACAAAACAGTTTAAAAAAAAAATTTTTTTTTGAATTTTTCAAAAAAATTTTTTTTTCATTTTTTTAAGAGCGACACCCGCCATTTTTTTATTATTTACTCGTTAAAGTGTCTATTTAAAGAAAAAAATTTTGCCCAATTTTTTTTTGAGGTGCGTGATAGTGAAAAAAATAAAAACCGCAAGTGGGTACAATGTACAGCTTAAATTTTGAAAAATCCATCATATTCTTTAAAAATTTGTTATTTCGAGTCATTTTTAGGTTTCTAATTATAAATCTACTATAAAATTTAAAAAATTCAAAATGGCGCATCCAAGATGGCGGAAAATTTTCCGAAACGTGAATCATATTTTGAAGTTTCATAACAAAAATTTCAGATACAATTAACTGGGGCTTAGGGGGTTAAGTGTGCAAAAATTGCCCCCGCATCTATTTTTCTCAAATTTGGCCCATACATTACTATCCATATGACTATAACTTTCTGCAATTTTCAACTCAAAATTCGCTTTTTTGGGGGAGTTATGGAGGGGGAACGAGAAATCAAAAAACTTATTTTTTTCGAATACTACTGAACCAATTTTAATGAAATTTTAAGAGGTTGTAAAAATAGATAAGACGACTTTAGTAAAAAAAATCAAAATTTTTTTGTCAAAAAAAAGAAAAAAAATTTGTTTTTGAAATTTTCAAAAAAATTTTTCAGAGTAATTTTTTGAAGTGACCACTTTATCTTTTGTTGTAAAAAGTACCTTATAATGTCCCCTTTAACCTTTTTTTTTCCCAAATTTTTAAAAAATATACTTTTTGAGTAAAATGTCAAAAACCGGACAAGTATGGAAAAAGTGATCCAAATATATTTTTCCTATTCATTCCTACCCACAAAATAACTTTTTGAAATTTTAAACTCAAAGTTTTGAGTTTTTTGAGCTTATGGAGGGATAAAAAATCGAAAAACGCATTTTTCTCTAAAACTATTGTATGCATTTTAATGAGCTTTGTATATGTTGAAAAGACAATTAAAGAGATAAAAAAAGTTTCAAATTTTTTTTTCAAAAAATTCCAAAAATCTGTTTTTTAAAAAATTTCATTTTGAAATTTTCAGAAAAAAAATTTTTTGGTTCTATTAAAGTGACATTTTTATGTATTTTATCATTTCAGTCTCTTATGTGATCTACTTAATTAAAAAGTTTTGCCTGACATGATTTCAGTGTGTGTCACAGTAAATAACTCAAAAACCCTACCCGGTACATTGTACCCACTTGCGGTTTTTATTTTTTTCACTATCACGCACCTCAAAAAAAAATTGGGCAAAATTTTTTTCTTTAAATAGACACTTTGACGAGTAAATAGTAAAAAAATGGCGGGTGTCGCTCTTAAAAAAATGAAAAAAATTTTTTTTTGAAAAATTCAAAAAAAAAATTTTTTGGATTTTTTTGAAAAAAAAAATTCAAAAATTTTTTTTTAAAACTGTTTTGTTGACATTTATAACATATTTAAATTTCATTAAAATCGGTTCAGTAGTTTTCGAGAAAAACGCATTTTTTGATTTTTCTTTCCCCCTCCATAACTCCCCCAAAAAAGCGAATTTTGAGTTCAAAATTTCAGAATGTTATCTTTAAGTGGGTAGGAATGTATGGATAAATTATGAATTAAATACATGCGGGGGCACTTTTTGCATACTTATCCGGCTATACCCTTTAGAAGTAAGTAAAACTTTTTCTCCGTGTAAAATGAGAAAAAAATTTATTTTTTAAATTTAATTCTTGTGAAGTCTCTTTAATAAAATAGGTAAAAATTAAATATATTCCTGTTAGCATTCGGATGCTATTCTAAATTTTGTATAAAAAAATAAATAGGGAAATTAAAAATACATGATACGAACCTTTAATCAGAATTTTTGAAGAGTAGAGGAAATACGTTAAAAATGCAAACTTTAAATATAGGTAAAAAAGTTTATTGTTGAAAAAGTAGAAAAAAACAATTGTTCCATTTCTAGTTGTAGAGGTGAATAATTTATTCAGACCTATTTTTTTCTATCCGCATTTTTTTTTAAATACAATATGTAGAAAAAATTACAATAGGCAAAAAATATTTTTTGCAAATAAATATAAAATACGATGAACGTAGAAGGATGTTTTTAATTCCTAGTTCCTGTGACATTTAGATTTATAAACCTGAGCAGTAGCTAAGAAATAGTGCCCTTCCTGAAAGGATAAAAATTATTTTATTTTAATTATTTATAGGTATTATTATTTCATTCAGGAATTTATTTCAGATGAGGGAGAAATTGAAATTTACTATTAATAGGTATTATTAATTAATAATTATTATTAAATATTTATTAGTTATTGATTATTATTAATAGTATTATTAATTTTTTTACCAGTTTTCTACTAATTAAAGAGTGCGAATTCATTTATCAATTAAGTAGTGAGGATTTTGACTATTAAAAAACTACTGTTAAAGGCGAAAATTTTCCTTTATAGCTTTTCAGAATTTAGATATTTATAAATAGAATTATTTAGTGGAAAACTATATTAATTTAATATTAAAATCCGACTAAATTGATAGTAAAATAATCTACTGATTTAAATAAAGAAACTTTACTATTTTAATTAATAGAAATTTGACAAAAACAATTAAAACCGCACTGAGGTCAAAAACTCAAGAAGCTGCAGGTTTTTGAGATAATTGCAATTTAATTTTTTTAACTACTTTAAACAATTGTTAATGCCACTCAAAATATATTACTCTTATAAAGAAATTTATATTCTACTTTAAATATGAAGTCAGAATTTAAAAATTCAAAATGGCGGATTCAATATGGCTGACAAAATTGTTAAAATTAATCAGGTTTGTTTATAACTTTTTATTCGGGTGTTTTTTGGGGTCATTGATTCTGAATAATAAAATGACCCCAAAAACCCCTAGAAAAAATAAGTTTTAAGCAAATCCAAGTGACGTTTAACTCTTTTTTCCGCCATATTGGTTCCGCCATTTTGAAATTTGACAAACTATGGAAATTCTAGCAAAGGATTTAAAATCAGTGTAAAAAAATACACCGTAAAGCGTTGTTGCTTTTTTGGGGTCTAAAAAATTGTTTTTCGGGGTTGACCTAAATTTTTGAGTTACGGAGTTTCAAAATTTGGACTTTTTTGAAAAAATCTTTTTTTCGATTTAATATATCGATAAGTAAATTTAATCAAATTAAACATGTGAATAGTGTTTTTCAAATCGTTTTTCACGAGCTACAAGCTGGTGATGAAAAAAATTTATTTTCATTCAATTTGATCTTGAAATTCAAGGTCAAATTCTTAATTTCAATATATCTCAAAAACGGTTTTTTATTTTTTTTCTAACCTGTCCCAAAATGGAAAGCTTACATTTTTTCCTATGAGCTATGTAAAAATCAGAGTGGGACCTTAAAAATTTCTCAAGAAAATAATTATAAATCATTATTTTATAAAGAAAATAATGATTTTCTTGAAAAATTTTCAAGGTCCCACTCTAATTTTTACAAAGCTCATAGGAAAAAAAGTAAGCTTTCCATTGTGATAGGTTAGAAAAAAAAATAAAAAAACCGTTTTTGATATATATTGAAATTAAGAATTTGACCTTGAATTTCAAGGTCAAATTAAATGAAAACCATTTTTTTTCATCACCAGCTTGTAGCTCGTGAAAAACCCTTTAAAAATCACTATTAACATGTTTAATTTGATTAATTCTACTTATCAATAAATTAAATCTAAAAAAAAAGATTTTTTCAAGAAAGACAAAATTTTGAAACTCCGTGACTCAAAAAATATTTTATCAAATTCTATAATAATTGTTATTTACACTTCTACTAATAATAGTAAAATTTTGACAAAGTTTGGAGAAAATTAATTTTTTGACCTGGACAGTTGATGAACTTTGTCCCAAGTATAGAAAACTTATATAATTCAGATTTTCGAGATTATAGGGAAACTTACGGCAATTTCCAGAGCAGCAATCTGAATTCTCGGAGCATTGTTTTCCGTGTTTTAGGCAAGGCCTCGATGGTTCCGTTGGACATGTGACAACTGGACATTCGGGAGGTGGACATGGGGGACATGTGGGACATGGTAAAACTGAGGGACATGCAGGACATGGTGTTATTATGGGGCAATCGGGACATGTCACGGTAGGACATGTTACTGGAGGAGGAGGAGTAGGGCAACTTGGAGGAGTCACTGGAGTTGGAGTAATAGCACAGGGTGGTGGAGGAGTAACACAAGGAGGGAGAGTTACTGGAGGAGGAGGAGTCACGCAGGGTGGTGGAGTTACTGGTGGAGGAGTTACGCATGGAGGTGGAGTAACTGGTGGAGGAGTAACTGGTGGTGGAGTAACTGGTGGAGGAGTAACTGGAGGTGGTGTATCCGGAGGTGGAGTAACTGGTGGTGGAGTAACTGGAGGTGGAGTAACTGGCGGAGGAGTAACTGGAGGTGGAGTAACTGGAGGTGGTGTATCCGGAGGTGGAGTAACTGGAGGTGGAGTAACTGGTGGTGGAGTAACTGGTGGAGGAGTAACTGGCGGAGGAGTAACTGGAGGTGGTGTATCCGGAGGTGGAGTAACTGGAGGTGGAGTAACTGGTGGTGGAGTAACTGGAGGTGGAGTAACTGGCGGAGGAGTAACTGGAGGTGGAGTAACTGGAGGTGGTGTAACTGGCGGAGGAGTATCCGGAGGTGGAGTTACTGGCGGAGGAGTAACTGGAGGTGGAGTAACCGGAGGTGGAGTTACTGGCGGTGGAGTGACTGGCGGAGGAGTATCCGGAGGTGGAGTTACTGGCGGAGGAGTCACTGGCGGTGGAGTAACTGGAGGTGGAGTATCCGGAGGTGGAGTTACTGGTGGAGGAGTAACTGGCGGTGGTGTTACAGGCGGTAGAGTCGGAGGTTCCGGAGTATCTGGTTCATCAGTATTAGTATCATCCTCATCGTCCGTTTCCTCCTCAGGATCCTCGAGATCATCGGGATCGTCTTGTGCCGAAACAAAAGTCAGCAGCAAACCCACACACAGCAGAAGAATAATTTCACGTTTCATAATTGATACACACAATGGCACGTCTTATTGTCACATCCTGACTTATATACAATTTTTTCCCCAAAGAATAATAAGGAAAATTCTTTTTTTTCGTGTGTCAAATAAAAAAGGAATTTGTTCATTTTCCTCATAAAAAAATGTACACACATTGCAGAATATCAGTATTTATTCTCATAATACGAAAATTGTTCACCAATATTTGCACTTGTGTCTGAAATTTCTTTCATTTACCTTGAAAATTGTGTAAGTATGTTATAAATTTCAGCGGTGTTGCAAAATTCAAAAGGGGAAGAAATAAAAAAGTTGGGTAAAAAAATGTTTCCATAAATTTTTTCATAAATTGTTTCTTAAGAGAAACTGTCCCGCCCTGTAGTGACAGTATCAGTCTTTCAACTGGTATTATGTTATTTATCACGTGGTCCTTTCTCGACATGACAATCGTTATTTTCAGTCACAGTACATAAAATGTGACTTTAATGATATTTACGTTTCTTTTTTTACAGAAAGGGAGTAGTGTCTTCTTTCTTCTATATATATCACCAGAGTCCTTCATTTGAGGGTTTGATATTTCTTTGACATATAATGTAGATATTTCACTGTGACATATAAATTCGACGATCAGGGCTCTTTATGGCTTCAATATATATGTAGATAATATGAAAGGCTATTGCAGCTGGTACACTTTTTAAAAAAGATTTTTTACAAATGAATGTAATTTACCAAAAAAAGCTTTTACAGAAAATATAAAAGTTTTTTTTTCAAGTAATTACATTTTAAAGATTGACAAGATTAATGAAATTTTGATTGACAAGATGAAATGAAAATAAAAATTTCGAATAAAAAATGTGAATTGAATATGAGTACCAAATGAATCTCATAAACATCAACAAAGTAGTATACTCATTGCCCCTTTTCGAAACATTGATTCAAGATAGCAGTTTCCTTTAATTGTATACAACAGCAAGGGAATGCCGAGTTGCTATTTATCTGAAGACTGGCTTTTAATGTTCAATACGTGTAACCGCAACGAACGTTCCAAGCATAAGTATACGGTAACAATTGCAAACTACTGCTTGTATAAATGCAATTAAAAAAAAGAACAAAAAGTCCAGTATGCATATATCAATCTGCTTTTACGATTAATAGTGATCTTAATTAACTGTCAGTAATCTGTATAAATAAGCGACTTACGTACCAATTTTTGTACTCCAATGGCGAAAAAATTGACAATATTTCATTGTAGTAAATATTATATTTAATTATTTATTTATTTAGAATGATTATTTATTTGAAATATAATTATTTATTTCTTGGTGCTTAATATTTATTAAAGAAATAGAAATATAATCATTTATTTGTGCTACAATTTTGTTTTACAGCTTTTACACCTTTTACAGTCTTAATGAAAAAATTGTATCCACCGGGATTTGAACCCTAATCAACGTTAAACTTGGTGCCTTAGACCTCACGACCAAACGATCACATTTCTTAAAGTCCTAATATTTACTTATTTATCTAGTTATTTAGAATTAGAAATAGAATTATTTACTCCTTAGTGCTACAATTTTGTTTCACAGACCTCTTACAGCCCTAATTTTTATTTATTTATTAATTCGTTTTTTATTTATTTGTTTATTTATTTATTCATTCATTCTTCCACACTATATACATAAAAGAAAAAAATTTACATCATACATCAAAGCAAAACAGAAAATCGTAAAAAAAATATACAGAAAAATAACGAATTGCTTATAAATGATAGAAAGTAAAAGAAAAAAGGAGGAAACGATGTATACGTGTGCAATATTAAAAGCATATTATTTTTGTGTGCTTTACACGTCTCTGTAATATTTCCTCGATATCTAGGAAGAAACATTTATGAGTAAATGCATACACCCTATGGCGATCAATATATAAGCTGATTGCAGGGCTTAAAATCATGAAGGACTTTATACATAAGCTCCTTATACACATTTAGTATTGAAACTATCTTTACTGAAATTAGTCCACACATACACTCACTGTGTAAAAGATGTTAATGGAGTTTAAGGGATTTCGAAAATTCACGTAGACAATTAATAAAATATTTACAAGACTAATATATAGTACACCACACCACACCGCAAAACAATGGATAGCATTACAATTCCGTTTTCTAAACCATAAATCCCCTTTTGAACTGAAATACTACTGAAATACTGCTGTAATATATATGCACATTAAAATATATATACACTAATATGCGGTTTTACTATATGGTCTAGTTAGTAGCATATTCCACTTTTACGATAAGCTGTAAAAATTTAAATTCCAAAAATTAAACAATAAAAATGTTTTTACAAAATTAAAAAAAATAAAATTTAAAAATTAAAAGAATGAAATATTAAAATAGTAAAATATTAAAGTAGGGAAATATTAAAATAGTAACATGTTCAGATAGAAAAATATTAAAACACTAAAATAATAAAATATATAATAATAATAATAATAATAATAATAATAATAAAAACGATAGGAACTTACACTTTAAACACATCCTTGTGCAACAAATAACATCCTTTATGCAAAGTTGCCCTTTCAATAAGCAAGCATTTGCAATAATATTTGTGAGTAATATGAAATATAATATTTTACAAAACGTGACAATTGATTGAAGCATGACTTTATTTTGGATTAATAATAAACTGAAAGTTTAATTCAAATTTAAAATACATTTATACTATCAAATTTGTACGTATAACTGAAAATAGTTTCCTCCAATATTAACATTTGAAAACGATATTTAAATATTTTATTTGCATATGAATACGACAAGTTGATATCATAAATTCATTGTATTTGATGTTTTTCTAGAAATAGAATTTGTAATTTAAAAATTAAATTCTTAATTTTAACCTTGTTACTTCATTGAATGTTAAATAATACATTTGAATTTTAAATTTTTACTTTTTAATTTAAATTTAAATAATTTTTACTTTATTAACCCTTTCTCGTGCCCCTGGAAAACCCCTGGAAAACTAAGTGGATTTTGTTAAAAATTCTCACTCGAAAGTTTTCGGGCTCGTTGATTACGAATTTAAAGTCAGATTTGAAAAATTTTAAAAATTCAAAATGGCGGATCCAATATGGCGGACGTTTTTTCAAATTTGCTTAAACTTGCTTGAAACTTGTTACCCGGGGGTTTTCGGGGTCACTGATTACGAATCTGAAGACAGATTTTAAAAATTTTAAATGGATCCAGTATGACAAATATCTTTTTCAATTTTTTAATTATATTTTTTTATATTATAAAAATTGCAGGGTACCTTAACAGGTGAACTTGCAGCAATATTGCAGAAGCAGGGACAAGATAAATAAATCTAATATTTAATATTAAATAAGTTTTCAGAAAAAAAGAATAAAATAAAAATAATATACAATGAATAGGAATAATAATTTTTTGAAAAAACCTTGTATGGAATGCGTTTTTATTTTATATATATATATATATGTATATGGTCAGAATAGATGTAGGTTCTTGCTGTAGCAGCTGATTATTTTCTATCGTACAAGAAAATTGCACGCTTTGATCCATTGAGAGAAGCAGACACTGGGGAGAGTTGGGTGTTACTCGACTGGCACGGTAGGATACCACGATTACCAGCAGCAGACGAAGAGCCGAGGTCAAAGTTCGTCCCGCCTCGACTTACCGGATAGTCTGAAAGTAATTGCTAACCGCGTCACAGGAAACTGTATCCTCCAATGAAAAATTCGCTTCACCGCTTGAATGAGCCTCTTCAGTGTACATCCCGGACGTTAAATGACGTTCACCATGGTTCCGCATTTTTTTAATCCCCACCCTCCCCTACCCCCATTATCCTCCTTCTTCATATATTGCTTATCCCTTGATATCTGACAAGCAGAGAATTACAATCAGTATCAAAAATAACTTTTCAGGAACAAAAAATCAATTCTTTTTAAAAACCATTGTTTTTAAAACAAATTGATTTTTTGTTCTTGAAAAGGTTGTAAAGAATATATTTTTATATAATCTTTTTTTGACTAGTTTGATTGGAGGTTTGATTTTTAGGGTTTCGTGGTTCCTAACGCTCCCCATAGGGGCCGTTACGTTACGCCACCAACAACCGTGAATTGTTACCATAGCAACTGCTTTTCTTTGGTTTAAACTTTTAGTTTTAAGTATATGAAAAGTATAACGAAGAATATGAAAAGTACTGAAGAGTATATGAAAAGTACTAGAGAGTATGAAAAGTCAAAGAGTGGAAATTGAAAAATAAGTGAAGAGTATAAGTATATTAAATGAAGAGTACGAAGAGTACATAAAAAAGAAGATCAGAAAAAGAACAAAACAAACAATAAGAATCGATGAGAGAACAACTGATAATAACGAGTGGATGAATTATTATATATACGAGTATGAGAGTTAAAAGGTGCGAGAATGTAGCGCGTGAGATAGAAACTGTAAGATATCATCAAGATCCGATTAAGCCATGCCATGAATGTCGAGATACCAATAGCCTCTTTAGAGCCCTTGTCTCATGTGAATTACATGATTATAACCCATGCCGTTGTATTGGCCATTATTTCATCCCTCGGTCATCGCGAGTGCAGTTTAAGGCCATTATTATTATTTTCTGCGACTTTACCTCGCTCCAAAAGAGGATACTTAACCTTAGAGATCCAATATCCGGAACGCAGGTGATATCACAAAACGTAATATAGATTGTTCCAGAAAAGTCATCAAAATATATTAGGTCATCAAGTCAACACTCAAGTGAGTGAAAATTGCCCTTTTTTCCGTATCCATCCATCCATAGTGCTATTCAATTATATCCCTCATAAAATCATATCTTTTTTTTTATCTTTATTGGTCCAATCATTATTTGCCATCATTTATATCGCCTCACTGATATTAAAAGTGTTGTCTGCGTCGTAACAATTTTTTTTTAGAAAATGTCGTCTTATTAAAAAGGAAAAGGGGTCATTTCTATCGACAAGTAGCTTATCGTTTTTTTCCCCTCTAATCGAATC